AGAGCGTCGCATGCTGTTTGGATAAATGCAAAAGCAGGGTTTGCTGGGACATATATTTAAAAGAAATTTAGCTGTAGTCTCTTCGATTGACTAGCAAATCCCCTTCGTGCTGCTCCCTTTCTCATCTGCAGAATACAAGGTAGAGAAAGTGAGCAGCGGTGGCTTCGTATGATCACGGAAAGTGCTTTGCTTGGACGCGATGCCCTTCCAGTCCTCCTGGTCTGGGCAAAGCAGCAGCCCAACAGCAAAGGACTAGGTTCCCTGGTACTTTCTAACCCGCCTGCACCTCTCGAGCATCATCTCTGCGCTTTGTATTGGGAAAAAAAATTGCTAACAACCTCCCAGAGATCTAAGAATACAATTTAACAATTTAATTAAATTAACAATTTAATAAATTAAAAAAAAAAAAACCCATGTAAAAGTAACAACCAAATCAGCGCTTTGTCTTGAGCCATTCCCGGTAACATTTCCCAGCCCCAAGCTCATCTTTCGCAGGCGCAATGCCTCGGATAACTGCACTTCCAAGCTGATGAGAAATCAGGTTTGGAAACATTTTCAAAAAGAGGAATCTTTGGTAAAACCTTCCTAAATTTCACCCCAGGAAGATGACGCAGAGAAATCAAACGGGAAAGGTCTCTCCAGCAGACAGAGTGCCACGCCGGCTACCAGAGCTCGCTGGCGAAGCATCTGAGCGCCCGAAGGCTTCTACAAGAAGCCCAGCCTCCAATTTTCACTGTATCCCAACAGAAACCCGGTGCAAGTCCCCCAAACACCTTCGAAACAAAACCCTCTCTCTTTAGCTAACGTTTGCCGAGTACCGACGGACAAGGGACTGTGACCCTGAACCCTGATTAATTTTAGCACCAAAAGAGTAAGAAAGGGAGAAGAAAACATGACCTTGGCTTCTCCAACGAGACATCGCAGCACACGCTGCTGCAGTTAAGGATTAGTTATGCCTGGGTTTGTCATCCAAAATAACTTGGTCGCAAGGCTACCATCCTTCCTGGGGGTTACGGGGGGGAGGAAAATGCTTTTCCGTTATTATTCAGTGATTTATTCCCAGGTATAATCCTGCGAGGCGGCTCCGGGAGCGAGCGGTAACACAAGAGCACTGGGACTTTGCTGCCGTCTCAGTCCAGCCCAGAAGAGCCTGGTCCCCCTCCGACACCCACTGGGACCCGCTTCCAGTCCCCGCGCCAAGTATTTCGGCAGGACTTACTAATTACTTAAATTAGGATTTACAGGATGGGCACCTGCTGGATCTTAATCCCCGCTTTTTTTACATAAACCAGGATAAAAAGCTGCTGAGACTCAGCTCAGGTCTATCGAAGCTACGGAAGTCGGTGCAACTGGAGATCGCATCGAGAAGCGCGCTAACGCCGCAACTCGTGCTGGAATTATTTTATACAGTCACCATACATCTCTGAGGGCCCCGGCTACCAGCTGCGGGTTCACCTTCCTCGTTCCATATTTGTGGAAAACTGCTCTGGGTCACCGAAAGTCAGGGCAGAGATTTTAAAGCATGGATTTAGCCATTCCGCAGCACACAAAATAAACCTCCCCACCTCATGCTCTCCATGGTCAGCCTCCCGTCTCGATAAAAAAAGAATAAAATCTCCTAATAAACAAGGCTGGGACTTTCCCACCGCTGCTCTCAGATGCTGACGACTGATAAACCCAGGCACTAAATACAGAGAAAGCTGATCCTGACATTTATCGCATAATAAGCGACGATCTTTATCTCACAATAAAATCCCCTCCAAAGGCTGGGCTGGAATTGTTTCAGCCGTTCCTCCAACATGCGGGAGCTCCGGGTGGGCTCGGAGAGCCCACCAGGAATCACACAGCCGCTCGGAGGGCTGAGACCAGGGCGGGGGGCAAGAAGTTTTGGGTTTAACCCATCACCTGGGATCTCACGTCTTGGCACCTCGGGTGCTTCACACACAAAACCACTGCAAGACTCTCGCCTACGGCGATACCGCGAGAAACACCAGTTTTGCGGGACACTCATTAACCACGGCATGAGGGAAATAAAAATATCTACATAATTCAGGTTTTAAAGGAGAACAAGACGCTTTTTCACGGCTGTGGCCGGCACAGGTCTGGTTTTTGGGTGGTGGTACACAACACACCCCAAACGAGCTGCTCCACCTTCCAACGCTCCCGAGGTTTCTGCTTTTACCTTAAGCCACAGGAAGAAAGCAAAGAGCAATTTAAAATAGCTGGGTAAGGATATGA